AACGAAAGTGGGGGATATTTGCTTCGGTAACTGTTTTTATAATTTTATTATTTGCTTTTATAACTGAATAATTTTTTTTTAGTAACACCATAATTCCCCATCTGCTGAGACGTCTAAAAAAGTTTTCCCCTTTTTTGACGTTAAAACGAAAATGTACAATGTTTTATTGAATATGTGCATGTTCAAATGTAACAATGCATAAGATAAATAAATATTTAGGTCTCTACTTTATGTATTGAGCATTATTTTTAAATGAATGTTTTGAACACTGTAATCCTGCTGTCCATTTTTCCTACAATTTGATATATATATATATATATATATATATATATATATATATATATATATATATATATATATATATATATGTGTGTGTGTGTGTGTGTATATATATATATTTTTTTTTTCATAAAATGTCTTCTAGAATTTACATGTAGAATTCTAGAATACATTTTATGAAAATTTCCAAAGAACGGAAATGGGGGATATTTACTTCGTAAACTGCATTTCATTTCTGTATACTTTGTGTATTGAGCATTGTTTTTTAAATGAATGTTCTGAATGCTCTAATCTTACTGTTCGTTTTCTTACACTTTTATATATATATATATATATATATAGTTCAACTTAATTCAAATTTATTTATATAAATCGTACGAGGGTATTTGCGCGGAAGTGAATTTAACGAACCCAATGAGGCTGAGGAACTCTGGTTAGCATTTCCGTGCTATCAGCCATCATGCCAAACGCAAATCCAAGTTTACACTACCTGGTATTCACAAGCTGTCAGCCATATTGGTACTGACCAGCCACAACGATTCATAGTACCGAAGAAACTTGTTAATATCAGAATAAAATAAAATATACTACAAAAATATAGCTTTCCAAGCCAACTTTATAATTGCAAGGTAATCAATAATACAGCATCGACTAAAATGAAATGAAAAAGCTATAGACAAAAAGAAATCAAGACAAAATTATTTTACCGTAACAGCATTCGTAGAAGAATTGTAAATATCTCAACATATTTTGCCTTATAAGAATTTTTTTTGTGAGTGAATATTGCATTAACAATATTTGAAACTAGCAATGATTTTTTTCTTATACAATTCCTAATATTTAACCCATAGCTGGCGAGGAAAGATATACATATACCATTCTTAAAAGTATTTTTGCGTAAGTCTATATAATGAGCCTTCAGATAGCCATTTTCGAACTCCATTTAAGTTATTTAAATGAAAACATGAACCCATCTCTCTTTACCCAGCAATGGGTTAAATAGTAGGTCTTGTATATAGAAAATCATTGCTACCCACCCAAAATTATTATAAATCGATTGCAAAAAAGGAATTGTTCTTTTTTTATAAATGTAATTCAACTTAAGCAAGGAGTTAAAGCCACTAAGACACAAGGAGTTACTGTGTGTGGAAGAATTAGAAAACAAAAACATTACTAAGGAGCGAGGAGAATAGAAGAGTAATCATGAAGACAATAGATAGCGAAGGATATTGAATTTGGATTTTTGAAGAATAAAATTGACTGGAATACATGAAGCCGAGTTTAAATAACCAACAAAAGGTTGATAAGTATTTTTTTTTAAAAAGTGTTTAGGGACTTTGGAGTGGTGCAATGGTTAAACTGACTCGTCTGGTTGACCACTACTCTCTTCAATGGGTACCCTATATAAAATTAGACATTTAATAGTTGATATGTTATCAAATTAACTAATTTCCGTTTTTTTGTTTCTTCTAAAGTCTACTTCAGCTCTCTGCTCCAAGCGTCTCCGCCTGAACTCTAAAAATTTATTCACCAATTTATTTTATTTATTTCTCTCTTCCACCAATAGGACTTCCATTTCGTCATTTTTACACTCCTCCCCAGAATTTCGGACAGGAGAAGAGGTATAACCTTTTTTTTTCCTTTTTAGGATTGGGTTTACGGTTCCTTCTGACGACTGTTCTATACGCCTAACGCTTGATCTTTCCTACGCAAATATACGTCTACACATTAAGACTCTACCTCAAGTGGCACTTGGGCCTTGTGTTGGGCGACCATTAGTACAAAAATAGGATATACACAAACGTCCTCATTTACTTTGTATTCCATTATTAAAGCTGACTTTTCATTTGACCAGATTTTTCACAGGGGCTGCTAATCTGTAGAAAAGATATTCGTGAGGATTCTTCCCAGAACACTACAATCTGAACCTCTTCCAGATTAGATTTAACTATTACTTATTCTAAGTGTACTCATAATCCTCCCTTATTTACCTATTCTTCTCCTACGTTCATACAATAACCTTATTTGGTGACTCTTGTATAGAGAGTAACTCTTGGGAATTGTATCGGGAGGTCATTTAATATTATACTGTTTGTTAATCAGAACATGACATTCTTAAGCGTGTAATTTGAGCTTTTTTCTTCTTCTTTCTTCTGGCTAAAGGGTTTATTATTGCGATTGTCGATGAAAACGTCGCCACTGTTTTTTTTTGTTTTAACTG